CCCCAAAACCCCAAAACCCCAAAACCCCAAAACCCCAAAACCCCAAAACCCCAATGTGAGTTCTTCTAGTTGAAATTTAGGGATTACGTCCAGTCGCTTAACCATACCGGACTTTTTTTTGTGGACTATGAGACTGTATCGTGCTGTATTGGTTCATCCCATGCATCCCTTGTGTCGTTGTGGGCATTTGGGTATTCTTTTGGGGACGATCATAGCCGGAGTTAGTCTTAAATTGCTTCCCAGCATTCTGGAGTAACTCTGAAGCCCTAGCTCTTGGGTCTTTGAAGGAATGCTTCTTCTGGTATTGGTTGGTAGAATGTGAAACTTCAGTAACCTTCAGATTAATATTGTCTGATGTTCTAGCCAAAGTATTGTTCTTTATAGGATTTATTATTTTCTTAGGTTTCCAAGCATAAGGATGAACCATCGGTACAAAACCAGCCGATTTCTGTGGCTTTATATCTTTGATATTAAAATTATGGGTTGTATTAAGCTCTTGAACTGATGGCTTAGTACCTAATTTAAAGATCTTTGGTTGGGATAGATCAATAGAGGAGTTCATCCATCTAGGTTTACTATCATTATCATATCATCTGATCCCTCTCATGCTTCCTAATGTAGAGCTTGGAGCATATTTGATCTTGTTGACCATCGGCGACCTGGATTCATCTTTCAAGGCTTTAGCAACCATAAAAGGGTCATCTCTCTGAAAATTGGAGAGAGATCTCTTGAACTTATCAGTAACTGGGATGTTGCTGACTCTTCCCATTTCTAGTCCTTTGATAGTTGATCTATAGAGCATTAACCACTAGAAAGTACGTGAATTTATGGCTATCTTCTCTTTCTAGTCTCTGTTGCCAGAAATGATTGCTCATTGCCGGGTTGTAGTTGACATGATCAACGAATCGTTCAGAGTTATTGAGTCTGTGCATTTTATTTTCAATAATATTAATTTTTTATGGGGTTTTGGGGTTTTGGGGTTTTGGGGTTTTGGGGTTTTGGGG